TTCATAGTTAATTAGGTTAACCTCTCCCTCTTCCAAATCAGTGACATACTCATCAGAGTTATAATCAAATACTACCTCTGTTTCACTATCATAGTTGATGGTGTTATCATCAGAACTATCATCATCATCAGTTAGCCTAACAACATCATCAACCTCACCAGCCATATTTCCAATATCACCACTTTCAACCTCATCAACCATTGGCACATTATCATCAGTTCCTACTGCATGAACACCATCTTCCCTAATATCATCTTCCCTAACACCATCCATGCTAACATCATCTTCTCTAACATCATCTTCCCTAACACCATCTTCCCTTCCATCAGTTTCATTCAACATCTCTTCAAGCACAACTTCTGCCTCATCAACTATCACATTAAGGGGTACCTCATCTAACACAACTTCAGTCTCATCAGCATAATCAGGCTTTGACAATGTGTGTTGAATAAAGAATTCAACACTAAGATAAACCCTATATAGATCAGCAATCTCTAATTCCCCCTTGTCATCAACCAACATATTCATTCCAGCAGTAGGATCCCTATAATATATATTCTCTACATCTGTGTAACCTAGCTCTTTAATAGCACCTACCAATTCAAAATAACTCCACTTATCAACATCTACTCTCAAATAAGAAATCTCACCTCCTTCGTAAACACTCATGTCCTCAGTAACAAATTCGCCATTATGGTGTATTATAATGTACATATATTCATCCATTTCAGATTATGTCCTAAATGGACGGGAAGATATTAGATTTCAGAACGATTGATTTCAAAAAACCCTAACTACGAAAATCATAGTTTTGCATAAAGTTACCTACGATGAGCAGTGTTGTGGTCGATTTCACCTTCAAGAACGGAATGTGCCTTCACTTTGCTCGCAGCTTCTTCGTAGAATGGAGCTACCAACAATGGTTGCCCTAGGATTTCCTTCAAAGTGTTGGAGATGTAATCTGATCCTTAAACCCATGCAATGCTTTAACCTTTTTTTTTAAAGATACTTTAATCCACCTGGACGAAAATGTAAACATATGCAATGCCACATATATGCCACATAAGCTCTACCATTGACTTTGACTAACGGTCCAGACGAAAAGGATAAACGTGATCCTTTTTGAACAATTAAAGGACCACTTTAGAACTTTTTAAAGATAAGGGACCAGAATGGACCCAGACGTAAAGTTAAGGAACTAAAAAGGGTATTTTGCCTAATTTAAAAGATATTATTTAATATAAATGAACAAAATTACAATTTTGATGGGTTAAAAAAATCATTTATACTAATAAATAATAATATAGTATTATAAATGTGATAATATAAATATACAAATATATACATAAATATATAAGCATAAATAAATAAATGAATATAAAAATGGAATTATAAGAGAAAAATAAATAACTAAAATTAATTTCGCAGGGGGGTGTAAGAATATAATATGACAATAAATTACAGGGGTTCTAATAGAAAGGGAATGAATTCAAATTTTGAATTCAGGCCCAAAAGGCCAGGAGGTATGAGTCTGTGTGTGGTTAGTAAACAACAATTGAAGGAGGGTGTGGACAGTCAATGGGCCTGGCCCAAAGGATAGAATACTGGAGGAAGAGGTCCGTTTGGACCTTATACGAGGGAGGCATATGCGTTATGGTGGTCGTGCGCATCTTACGGGTGCGTGATTGTGATCTTGTGGATGAGATTAAGGGCACATAGTTACTATGGTGGGCTTGCGCGTGTTAGATTATTAAGACATATTATATTCTTTTCAAAACAGAAACAATATATTTTTCATGTTTCCTCTCTCTCTCTCTCTCTCAGCAATCTCGTTTCTTCTCTCCTCTCACCATACAACACAAAGATAACCCCCAAAAAACCCTAAAGCGAAACTAAATCGGTGACGGGAAAATCCATAAATTCCCAACCATAACAACAATATAGAAGAAAAAAGCACGAAAATGCTAAGTTACCTTCGTCTATTCTTCGAATCTATCCTCAGAATTGTTCCTCTTCTAATTTCTCCTTCTTCTGCGTTTTTTTAGGGACAGTGGCTGAAGGTTAGGGCGGCGGCGATGGCTGGAAGCGATGATTTGGGGCAGACGGGTTGTGTGTTCCTGTTTGGGATTTGTGAATCGGAGGGAGGTGCAGTCGGAGCTTTGAGGAAGATGAAGACCGCAAGTTAACAATGATGATGGTGGAGGTTGAGGGCGACGACTTCACAAATCTGGGATTTCGGATTTTGAAGTGCAGATTTGTCTTCTTATCCTCCTTCTGTATATCCCTCGCTCTCTAAAAAATTTCGTCCATTTTATAGCTTTTTAGGAATTATATATTAGGAATGAACACAATTTATCTGTAACTGATTTTAGGAAAAGACATTATGTGTCTGTAAAAAACAATTTGTTTCTGTTTTGATTTCAATTTCGATTGAGTTATGGCCTGTAATAACTTTGTTTTTGTATTAAGCTTGTTCTGTTTTATTTCCCAATTGATTTTATCCTTATTGAATTCGTTATGTAAATGCTTCTGAATAAAGAAACAAAGTGACTCGAATCTGTTCATGATTTAAACAGTAAGTGTTCGTGAAATCTGCATTTTTTTTTGTATTGTATGCACTTGTCTTGGTTTCTTTGGGCCATACATTTGAAACAACAATTTTTATTTTAAATTGAAAATGGGCCTGCATACTAGCTTTGGGATTGAAAATAGGTATCATTTTAATACATTAAAAATGATATAATATTTAAAAGAACATAAAAAATCTTCAAAACAAATCCAAAAAAACTTGAAATGGGTCTGTGATGTTTAACAATTATTTCTTTAAACAAAACATTAACCCTTTTTTTTAATCAGTAAAACGAAACAACATTTATTAAAAAAGTAATGTTTTAATTAAAATAACATTAGTATAATAAAATAATAGTAATAATAATAATAACAATGTCATAACAAAACATTTTTTAAAGCAAACTCAAAACTGAAATGGGCCAATGCATTAATCTACTTGGGCCTGGACTGATTTTTTGGAGGGCCTCTTATTGGGCTTTAGATGACAAAGACTGCTTCAATAAAAAAACTAAATGGGCCTTGTAAATTAAGTGTACGGGGTCTTAACCAAAACAAGATTGTTCGCCTTCTTTGATTAGAATAATGCACCTCTCATTTTTAACTTGAAATGAGCTTCTCTTTTTTTTTTAAAAAACCAATGGGCCATCAGATATTGATGGTCCATTTTAAGTTGACACGCCCCCCTTTTCATGCTTTAACCTCCTCATGAAAAAAAAGCAAAAACAAAATAATATGATTTATTCAAAGAAAACCTAAATATAATTAAGGGTATGACAAATTTAGAGTATGACAGTTATCACATACATGTTGAGTCAGTTGTTGAGTACATTTGCATTTGTGTTGCATTTGGTGATTATTTTGATGTTATAATGTGTGGATGAGAATACTTGATCTGTTTATGTTGTTGTGATTAGTGTGTGATGTTGTTAGTTAATCTACTCTAATTGTCTTTCACTGATAGTTATTGAATTATATTTTCACCCCTTCTGTTTCAATGTTACCTTTACATGACCATCATGCAGATACTCAGGAATAGCATTACTGAAGTAAGTGGAAGATTGCCTTGAAGTTACTTCCGTAGTTTATCGCTTTTACTAGTGGTTCCTTGCTCTGATCATATAACACGGGTTTAGATAAGCGTTTGAATTGACTATTATGCCGTTTGTGTCGGAGTTAAAGAATTTTTGTGTTGCTGAGATTTTTAAGTTGTTTGAGTTGAATATTTTAACTCTTTTTGCTCATGCTACAAAATTAATGTTTATGGGACTAATCATCATAAGTTGCAATTTTGTTGTTAGTTGTTTTATTAATGACTCCGTTGTGATGACTCCTTCAACAATTGGGTGAGCGTGCAATGATAGGGTATGAAATGTCTTATTATATAAATATGTGATACTAATCAGATGAGTTGGATATCGTGTAAACATTTGAGGTACGGTTCAGATGAGTTGGATGTTGTGTAAACATCCCAATTACAAACGCGTGTCTTTGAATTATTATGTTGAAACTCGTATTACAGAGCAAGGTGTGTGTTTTTTTATGTGTGTAACATCCTATATGATTGTATTTATAATTAAATTATGCGATTCTCCATGCGTGACATTTAGGTTGTTACACTTTTCATTTTTTTATACGAGTGTCATTTGAGAATTTTCTAAAGAGATAAACTGAGAAATTCTTAAGACTTTTTGTTCTAAGAGTTGAAAGACTTTTGATGTTATCTAAGGGATTGAGAAATTCTTACAAACACATTAAATTTGTGTGATTCATATAGTATGAGTTAAAGAGATTAAAAAACACTTAGGTAGAAAAAAGAAGAGATTTTCGAAAACTTAAAAAATTATTTTCTTGTAATTCTTTTATAATCTTTTATAACAACTCTTGAAATATAATAAATTGGAGAATTAAAGGAAAAATAAATTTGATCGAATCAGGTAAATAAATTGTGAATATACCTCCTATTTTATTTTATTCTTCTTACTCATATGAATTTGTTTACACTATTTGAAAGATATATTAATTATATTTGAGACATTTTATTTTAACATTATTTTATTCCTCATATAAAGAGTATTGATTTAATTAAATACTATTGTATTTCACAATAGTAGTTTTGTAATACATAAAAAAATCATTTTAAAAATTGCTCAAAGACGAAGTAATAGCAAGATGAGGTTATGATCTCAAGAAAATTAGAAGTAGAATCAAGAGTAAAAGATAAACACAAGTTTGAAGATCATGATTAATGCCAAATCTTCCAATCTATCATTAGGGTGGGACCTATAGTCCATTATGTCTCTTTTCCTCTCCCTCATTACAAAGATCCTTCGGTTACACTCCCTTTGCCTTCATTACCTTCAACCTACTACATAAAAAGCCATTGTTTCCAACAATAATTCACTCTCTCAAAATCAAATATATCAACAACCATGAAAGCAATAGAAATGTTCTGTTCTTCCCCTGCTTCAACAGCAATAATACAAACTAGTATTGATCAACGTTCTATGCTACGTCGAAGCAGAAGCACCAAAACCTACGATCATGATAGAAGGAAAAGCCAATATCAACTTCATCAAGTTCCTTGTTTATCTCAATTACCTATCAATCCTAAACCTTACTTTGAGAAGCATAGAAAGAGTTCATCTTCAGCAGATAAACAAAGCAGTACTACTGATCTTACACGTAGAAAAAGCTCAGTTGATCATGTCAATGATTCGTCTTCAACAAGATATCTTCTCAATGATACGCCGTTCGTCGATTGGGTATCTGAATCCAACAAAATATCGGTTCCTCAGTGTAATGCTATAGACATGTCCAATGATATGAAAGCATTGAAAAGCAACGATTCACATGCTCTTACTCTTAGCTCCAGTTCTTCGGCTATCTCCTCCAAGGACCAGGTTTTTCTCTCATCTGTCTTTATTATAAGAGAAAGTTTACTTTTTAAATTCACTGGATCAGTATTGTGTCCATGAATATGTCGTTGTATCAGTGTCGTTGTATCAGTGTTAGTGTTTTTCATATGAGAATGTTTGATCTATTTGAAACCTGCAGGTTGTGGTTTTGAGGGTGTCATTGCACTGCAAAGCCTGTGAAGGAAAAGTGAGAAAACATATCTTAAAAATGCAAGGTGAGTTTATTGTTATTATAAGACCTAATTTTTGTATGGTAAAAGCAAATTATTTTGTGTTAATAACACTAGTATAATATTGTATAGGAGTGAGATCATTCAGCATAGAAATGGAGAAAAAGAAAGTAACAATAATTGGAGACGTGACGCCATTAGGTGTACTGACAAGTGTATCCAAGGTGAAAAGTGCACAGTTATGGCAGTCTACAACATCAGCAGTATCATCATCTTCTTCTAGGATGCACTAATCGAACATAAATTTATCTAGTTTGTTTTTGTTTGGTACAAGTACTTTACAGACTGTGTGTTTGAAGCATTAGGTAAATATCAAGAGTATGAGTACAAAAATGAAGAATGCGTAATAATAGGGTGGGGTCATATAACTTGCAAACCTCACTTTCAGTTGCTCTCTACTTATTGCAATTTGTAGTAACAATAAGCACAATTTGGTTAAACTTTATGACTTGTCTATCTCAATGCATTTAATGTAAATGAATTCTATTTTCAGTTGGATGGATCAGCCATCTAACTCGTAATGTAGGCTTTCTTGACTTTATTCTACGTCATAAATTTTTGGAGGTTCTGTTTAAGATATTCACGTTTTAACTATAACAATAATTAGAGGTTTTATTAAACTATGTTTTAATAGTGATAGATTTTATGAAATCCTATTTAAATACATTTTTATCATAATGTTTTTTATAGATGATATGCAATAGTTGTTTTGCACGTTTTTAAAGACAATTTTGATTCACTTTAAGACTTTTTACGGAGTTGTAACAATATGTGTTGAATTTGAACATGAACAACAAGAGAAGGAGTATAAATATAATCATCTATACCATGAAATTGATGCAGTCGAAAAGCATCATATGGTTGTTCACTAAGCATGAGATCATTGTATTGTATTCCATGATGTATATAAATAATAGGTGCACTCTTAATTTAAATAATTTAAGGAGACAATGTAATGCATGCGAGACTGACCGTGGTAGCAGGGAGCACTCAAGGACAGGCTGGTTTGAGGCGCATTCTTTTACATCAAACTTTTTCATTGTTTTCTTTCACACCTAATCATCAATTTTTGCTTCTAAATGCTTGTGGGTCATAACAAAGGGACCAATTTTTCTGCACTCTTCACGTATACAATATGCTAGGTGACCTACCCTTAGAAAAGTTGTGATTTAGTGTGATTTCATTCTAATACTTGGTTAATAGTTTTTTTATACATAGAAATACACTACAATATTTTTGGCCTAAGGTCACACTAAATTTTTCTACAACTCAAAAATTGTGGTCACATATAATTTTTGGTAAAAGTTTTTAAATCGTAGACATATATTTTAAAATATTGAATTCGGAGTGTAAAACTGTGGCATTACAAAATCACACTTATATTTAAGTCACGGTTAACAAACTGTAGATATTTTAAGCCACAAAGAAAAACTGCGGCATTATAATTTTCACTGTGGTTCAAGTCCAAAAAAATATACCCCGCCAGAATTTCCCTTTTTTTTTTTAGTTTCCCTCTCGTTAATTATTTTCTTTTCTAATTTTTTTTAGATTAAAAAAAGAAGAAAAAAAATTGAAAAAGTAAATACACCAACATCTAACCTATTCCTCTTCTCCTCCTTCTCCGCGTCTCCTTTGTTCCTCACATTCCCTCCTGTTTCTCATTCTCCTGTCGTTTCTATACGATCATCTTTTTCGCTTCTCCTCTTCTCCTGCTCCTCGTCTCTTCTATCATTTCTTTCATGATTTTCTGTTACAAGAATGCATGTAGTTCATTTGCGTTGATCTAATCTAGATTTTATTTTGCAGTTTTGTTTCCTTTGTTGAGGTGCCAACAAAAGCTCCCCCTTGTCGATTACCGTTGGAGTTACATGTGCTAATACCGATGATAGAGTTTCATTTTTAATTTTGTTATGGTTTCATTTTTACCTGTATTGTTATAACTGTTGTGGTTATTATGTTATATTTGTTATGGTGATTTGAAACTAAGGGAATTGAGGTGAGTAACTAGGATTGAAGGTCTTGACAATGAGAGTGACACTGCATTTTTTTAGGGCGAGTAACTAGGGTTGAAATTAATATGAAATTGAGGTTGAGAAAGTCTGTTAGTAAGTGATTCAAGTTAACTGCTATGTTATGTTGGTGTTAGTGATGTTAACTGTTAGTTAGTTCAATTATTCTTGTAAAATTTTCTGTTAAACTAATGTCAGTATTTTCTGTTAAATTGTTAGATTGTTAGTTTTGTTAATTGATTGTTAGTATTGTTAATGTTAAATTGATTTTCTGTTTGGATAGGTGTTGAAAGCAGTAAAGCAGCAAGCAAAAAGTAAGTTATTAATTTACTGTGTGATATTTAGGTTATATTGTATCGTGTCCACGTAGATTGGTGTATTGAAATATCGTTCGACAAATATCTCGTTAATGAGTTAGGGGTTAAATGAATTGAAAGTAAAGGTATAAACAGAAAATAAATCTATAAAAAGGAAAAAGGAATAACTTATCAGACATGCATATATACCACTTCTCACAGACTTAAACCTACCGACCTTTTATACTAAACCTACAATATTCATCAATGTCATCACATGTCAAATACAACACCCACTGTATCACCTCAACGATGATCTCTCAACCAACCTTAACAACACAAAAGTAAATCGTGCTCGCTTGCATTGATGATATCTCAAAGCGACATAAATAACACAAAGGCATTAATCACAGACACCATAAGTGAATAACATCCCTAAATCTATCTTTAGAATTCATACACTATTAAATAATTATCCTAGATGAGAATTCAAGTAGTATATGCCTATAGCAACTCAAATCCCTAGCACAAAAAATCAAGGATAACAATCGATAAAGATTTGTAAAATAAGTTTTATATAACGCTAAGGGAGACAAATATACATGAGATCAAAGTAAATACATATACAAACTCAACCAAAAGAGAATACACAAAGAAAAAGAGAAATGAACCACAGATCTACCAGTTTATCAATGCCGGTCGAAGAGTAATCCATCCTGGATCATCCGTATGCAAGCTTCATAGTAGTTATCTAAGTTAATCCTAACAAAATTGGAGATTAATGGAGTTGGGAGTAAAAACTTCCCCAAAACTAAATAAAAAATAAACTAAAAATGAAGTTATAAAACAAATTTCAGCAGGCCGTGCTTAACGGGCTCACCGCGCTAAGCGGGCTGCACGATATTTATACATTAAACCGACCTAAATAGAACTAAGCGCGCTATCCGCGCTAAGCGGGCTCCAAAATACAGCTTCTGCCAAAATGTCTAAACACAAGCAGCGCGCTACAAAATACGTTGAGCGCACTCGCGCTTAGTGATCTTCTGCGTGCTAAGCGGGCTCTCTTGGATAAAATTTCTCAAAACTGGTCTTTTATTCTGAAAGCGTACATCCGTAGCCGTGCCTTCGACACCTTATTTCTTGATGCTCCAAAATGCAACAAATACCTACAAAATGAATGGAAAAATATCAAACAGTACACTATGTACACAAAAATCCAAATAAATACAAACTAAACGTATTTACACAAAATTCAGGTTTATTCAACGATTATTAACAACAAAGAGTCGATAAGTGCAACAAAATGTTATACAAAAATAACTACAATTTAAACTTATCAAGCTCTCTTCCAACTTGAACTTGTTTGTCCTCAAACAAGGCTAAACAAATCAAAGAATCAAAAGTAATAAACCAAAATATCATGAATCAATAAGTTTTAAAACGAAAAACAAATATATAGTTCAAACAAAAATGTACACACAAGGTAAATACTTATCACAATCCTACAACGACAACATGTAAACGAAATGAATCCTAAGTACAAAAATCATACTAAACATTCTAAAACAAAACAAGCTCAATCATGAATCACACCTAGTAAAAATTCATCGGTAGATGAAGAACACACAAAAGTGAGAGACAAAAAACACTCATTCACAATCTTGCAAACAATAGACTAAATTATGCATTCATCTAAAAACTCATATTGAAAATACAAAGACAATAATCACAAGGGCTTTTTAAGATTGTAATGTGGCTTGGTTAACAAACAAGGGATAAGTCCTAAAGCTAATCGCAACAAAAAATTTCCTTAACCTAAGAGAGTGATCAACTCACAAAGACTCAAGCAAAATAATTTCAATTAAACTTCTTCATTCCAAATTTTTCACCAACACCCATCACTTATTAACACAATATTATTTCATACTCTTTTTGTTTTTGTTTTTCAAAACTTTTCTCTTTTTTTTCTTTCTTTTTCTTTTCATTATTTTTCACTTTTTTATTTTTCTTTCTTTTTTATTTCTTTCTCAACCTCATAGTAATACACACAAGCATATAAACATTTCTCTCTCCAAATTGAATTCAACATACATTATAATGTGAATACTCTGTACTTTCTAAGGCAAGGTAAAAATTCAAACTACAAATCATAGTTAAAGGTTCAAGAAAACAAAGAATTAATATCCATACAAAAAGATACTCATAGACAAGCATTTAGCAAAAACAACATGGATATCAATAAAAAGGGTCAAAAGGGGATACTAATGATCACACACTCACAATATGAATTGACTATTTGGCCAAGGTAGTTGTGCTCAAAATGAAACAAAAAATGTCTTGGTCATGTTCATGCTTTCATACAATCAACACAAATAAAAGATTAAATATAATAAAATCCAGTTAAAATAAGAATTATGGCCTCTAACATATATGAACAGTGGAAAGCTTCCTCACATTTATGGGTAAAAAGGAAACTAAAGTGATTCAAGTCATGAGCAAGTAATGTAAAAAGAACGAATGACATGACAATTGTATAAATGAAAAGTTTCCTAAACATGTTATGTTATAGAAAGCGAATAACGAGTATCTGGCGTGTACCAACTTCAAAAATTATCATTATCATACATCCGCAAGTTGACACATTGAAAATCATAAAATCATTAAATGCGACTTCAAGCTATCTAACCAAAATTTGAGTCCAAACAACAAAAGAAAGAATTAAAAATATTACTATTAATTACTATACTATAAATCCTTGGGTGAAGTGGGAAAAGGAGAGCCAAGCGAAAAACTAAAAAGAATTCGATGGCTCTGCACAGTAGGGTGCGCTAAACGGAACAGAGCATGCTAAGCGCGCTACACCAGTTGCAGAAAAATAGGGCAGTTGGTGCAGTTGATATGCAAGCTCTACTAATACCTACACAACCT